TGGGAATGAAAGGCACAAGGGGCAAAGTGGTGAGAGATGAAGTTTGAAGGGAGAACAGCAACCAACCACGACGGGTCTCCCAGAGCCTGGTTCTCACTTGAGAGCAACGGAGCCTTGGAGAGTCCTCACGGGCAGAGGAGTGGGGAGTAACGCCTTGAGAGCTAACTGGCTGTGCGCAGAGCTGGACTTTGGTGTAAGGACCAAAGGTGGAGACAGGAGACCAGAGAAGGGGAGTGAACGAGTGAATCATGGACATCCCTCTAGGCAGAGGGCGACCAAGGCCTACGAGGGTGAAGAGCTGGTGCTGAGTCACCCTCCCGGTCTCAAAGGTGGCCCTGGGCTTCCCAAGTACCGAGTTCTCTGAGGTGCCAAGGATCCCGTGGCCTCCTCTGTGACCCTGAGTCGGTCCCCAGTGGAGGAGGAGAGCCCGGGGGAGGAAGCCGCTCTGCTGAGGCCGCAGATGCCCCCAGAGAGCCAGGGGCCTGCGGGGCCTTGGGACTCCAGAGGCTGCCCTCCGGCTCCCGTGGGCATCGAGGGCGGGGGGCCCGTCCCTGGTACTTGCAGACCCCAGCCCAGGCCAGGGCCGGAGGCAGGAAGCAGCGGCCGACAGGGGCCCAGACCCTGGCTCAGCCTCCAGCACCCACAGAGGGGCGCTGTCCGTGGGCAGCAGCCGTGGCCAGCGGGGAGCCGCCGCGGGGCGTGTGCCTCCCTGGAGATGCGCCCAAGGCGCTGGCAGGGTCCTTCCGGGGAGTCCTGGCTCCAGAGCTTCCGCCTCAGGGGCTCGGGGCCTTTGGCGGGTTCACAGACGTGGCCCGGGGACAGACGCTCTGTGCCTTGTTCCTCTTGGCAGCACCAAGCAGAGGGGACCAGCCAGGGCCGGTCACACGCCCTGACCCCAGGACGTCCCCTGCCCCGTCTGGTCCCCCTGCAGATGGAGACAGGACCCAGCGATGACCACAGCCCTAAGCCACAGCAACTTGCCCTAGACAGGTCGGCCACCAGGACGAAGCTCCAACGCCAACCTGGAGCCCCGGTCCAGAGATGGGGTCTGCACGCGGCCATCCTGGTCACGTGACCTTGAGCAAGTCACTGTCCTCTCTGAGCCTCATGCCCTCAGGAAAACCCAGGGCCACTGTTGGGGAGCAGTGGCACCTACCTGTAATCCCAGGGACTCCAGAGGCTGAGACAGGAGGATCCCAAGCTTCAAGGCCAGCCTCAGCAACTTAGCAGGACCTTGTCTCCCAAAGGGCTGGAGACTTTGCCCAGTGGTTAGCGCCCCTGGGTTCAGTCCTCAGCACCAAAATAAATAAATTTAAAAAGGGCTGCTGATTCCCCATCCTGTCCCTCCTCCTCCCTCCCCCCGAAGGGTGACATATGGTGCAGCGGGGCCTGGGACCAGGTGGGCAGGATGGGGCTTCGGCAGGGCTGTTTACTCTGCTCCTGTGAGTCCAGTCAAGCCTCATTTTCCTTCCACTCCACAAATCCTCACGACCTTCCTGTTGAGACGTGACGGACAAGGTCAGGTGGTGCTCAGTGCTGCAGAAAGCCGGAAAGCCCCGGTGCCAAGTGCTGTGTGGGCAGCACCTTGGTTCATGCCCTTCAGGGGCTGGGAGGAGATGCTACCATCATCCCCATTCTGTAGATGAGGTCATGGAGGCCCAGAGAGGTGAAGCACCTTGCCCAGAGATACACAGCAAAGAAGTGGCTGAAATGGGGTTTAAACATATGTTCTTAGGGTCTTAAATTAATGGAGATTGGCCGGGCGAGGTGGCGCACTCCTGTAATCCCAGCGGCTCAGGAGGCTGAGACAGGAGGATTGCAAGTTCAAAGCCAGCCTCAGCAAAGGCGCACTGCTAAGCAACTCACTCAGTGAGACCCTGTCTCTAAATAAAATACAAAATAGGGCTGGGGATGTGGCTCAGTAGTCGAATGCCCCTGAGTTCAGTGGCAGGTATCCCCCCCCCACTGCATTCCTCTCCACACTCCAGGAGAGCTGCTAGGAGTTGCCCATTTTGCAGGTGGCAACACTGAGGCTCAGAGATGTAATTGACTGAACCCTGAGTCACACAGAATGGAAATGGTGGAGCCAGGATTTGAACCCAGTCTGGCTCATGACACCTCTGTGTCCACCATGCTGTGTAGACATCCCTAGGAGGATTTAAAAGTCAGAGTTCTTCAAATTCTGGCCCTGCCATTTGCCAACCATGGAGTCTGCCCCTCCTGGGCACAGTCAGGACAACCGACAGACCCCGGATGGAGCTGAGGCCCCACCAATGTAACAGCACTTGCCTTGTCCAAGGTGCTCATTCCTTGTCCCTGTTACTGTTCTCATCGTGTCCCATGGGGGTGACTGCCTGGGCTGGCTGCTGCACGTGCCCCAGTCTCACCCCCCACCCCCCACACCAGCTGGGACCCTCCTTTCTCCGGTCTCAGGAGGCTGGAGGCCAGAGGCTGCATCTGGGAAGGGCTCCACTTGACCAAGAGCCACAAATATTTACCTTGGAGACCTCGGCCCAGCCCGGTGCCTCCGCCCACTCTCCCAGGGTGGCCTGTGGGGCCGGACGTGCAGGATATAAGCTAGATCTGCAGTCCCACTGCCCAGGACAGGAGAGGACCGGCAGAGCACCCGGCGTGTCCAGGTACAGGGCAGGGCAGGGCTGCAAGCCCCGCTGCAGGGAGTTCTGCTCTGGGGACGCCGTTGGGGTCAGTTCAGGATGGACGACAGGCGTGGCCACTCAGTCAGGGGGACTCTCCGAGGGTGAGGGCCAGGGGCAGAGAGTGCCAGCTCCCTGGTTCTGAAGGCCAGAGGGCCAGGATAAGGGGAGGGACAGTCTGAGGGGTCTCTGTGACACAAACCTCCCTGCACACCCAGTGCTCTGAGCCCGAGCTGTGCAGGGGGACAGGAGGACAGAGGAGGACCAGGCAGAGAGCCCAGGGACGCCCGGTGTGGCCAACGCAGGCTCCAGAGGCCAGGGACGGGGCGTGGGGAGGTCAGAGAGGGCTTCCTGGAGGAGGTGGCGTGGCCCCCACTAGGAGGAGCACAGGGCCTTCCTGCCGGGGATGTGGCGTGGCCGGGGCTCCTGGGCAGAGCAGCACGCCTGCGGTCCCCTCTGTCCTCTGGCCCTGACTGCGAGCCGCTCCTTCCGATGCCACTATCAGCAGTAAGCGCCATCGTCCCCTTCCTCGTCGCATTTATTAAACCCTTGTCTCCGCCGAGCCTCGAGGTGTGTGCACCACGGTTTCCCCATTTCACAGCCGAGCACCCTGGGAGGCGCAGAGAGGGCGAGTGGCCCGTCCACCATCACAGAGCGGGGTGGAGGCAGACCTCCTGCGTGGGCCTGGCTCTGAAGGCCAAAGGGCAGGGTGGTCCCCTGCATCCCCGGCTCCTGATGCTCAGGATGGCCCTGTGGCTCACAGGGGACCTGCCAGCCCGGAGCTCCTCAGCACAGGAGGCTCAGACTCCTGGTCCCCCCAGGGTCCCCAAGTGCCCGTCAGGGGGCGGCTGGCTGTGTGCGGGCTCTGTGCTGGGCCCCGGGCCGCGGTGGGGGGCAGCAGCCCCAGGCCTCCCTGCCGAGCTCAGGGCCTGGTCAGGGGGCAGGGTCAGAGCAGGACGTCTCAGAAGAGCCCCGCTTCCCGGGCCACAGCACCCTGGGCCACCCGGATGCCACCTTTGTCTTTGGCAACAAGAGCACACACGCCCAGCCAGCCAAGGGCTTGGGCCTCTGGGTCCGCAGGGCGCCTCTGTCCCAGCAGGACTGTCCACAGGGGGCAGCTCCGAAGGGCTGGGGGGCAGAGCAGGCTGAGAGCTGAGAGCTCTGGACGGGTGACAGGCGCCGGCCCGCTGTATGGCGGAGGGCACAGAACCCCCATAGCTCCTCTCCCTGGCCCACAGCCCCTGTGTCTGCCTGTCTGTCTGTCTGTCTGTTCCTCTCTGTCTCTCCCTGGCTCCACAAAGCCACCCACACCCTCCTGGGTCCCCTCGCCATTACACATTAAGAAGGTGACCTTCCGGGCAGGCTTTACAGGATGGCCAGGAGCCCACCAGGCAGATGCGGAAGGCGCCAAGCCCTCTGGGAAGAGTTAGAGCACAGGCTCGGACACAGGCAGAAACGGAACATTCTGGAACTGCCAGGCCGGGCAGCTGGGAGGGGCTGGAGTGTGATGGAGTGAGAAGAGACAAGCAGGGTGCGGGGCCCCGGGGGCTGACCGCGGAGGGCTCCGAGTGCCGGACTGCCGGGCCGGGCCGGGGGTGGCCAGAGGGCTTCGCCCTGACCATCGCTGGGGGGTTTTCTGTAGGGAAATAACACACATCCCCACGCGCTCGCCATGGCCTCCCTCCCTCCGTCCTGCGGGCTGGGGACGGTGCCCACTGCGGGCAGATGGACTCTCCACGGCCACACGACACTGCCCAGCGAGGGGCCGCTCCTGGCCACGCTCCCCAGGTTGGTGGGCATCGCAGACCTGCCCTGGGCCTCCTGCCCTACTTGAGGGCTCT